AAGTTACAATATATAAAGTAAACACTTAAGATTCATTGCAACATTTTCATGTCACCAATACACCAGTATTTACATGTAAAATGTCTACTAAAATATGTATCTATTAAAAGGCTGGTATGGGCAAATTTATATAACAGGTTGCTCTTATTATTCTGGTTCAATAGTTTCATTGCTTGAATCAGTTGAATGGATCATGAGCACAACTTGGCTGGATTAGATGTTATACCATTTGCCAAAGCAGGATGTAGGAACAGTTTGCTCAATAACAGTTCCTAAATCAGCATTAAATTCATAAGTTCAACTTTTCCCACTTTACTAAGGATCAACAATATAAACATTGTTGTCAACATTGCCATCATCAGATTCCATTTTCACAAAATATATTCGAATTCTATAAAAATAATTGTAAAATACAGTGTATTTAACTTAAATGCAGCAGTTAAACTCAACAACGATCGACATATATGCACATGCTTCGAAATAAAACAAAAATAATAACGACTCGTACAGTAATTTTCCTCGCGCCATAATTCCCATGCGGTCGATTATTCCCGCGATGGGCGACATAGTATACCGAAAATGCCCCATTTTCAAACCGCGATTACTCGTCAGTTTGATGGGGACAATTCATTTTTTAAACTTCTCATGGAAAGAACAACTCTTCCTGAATACGATGGCGTGTCTTTTATTTATTTTACTCATTTATAAACCCAATTGTCCCCAGCGGTTTTGAAAGCCACTTTTGACACTTGTGCATTGACCCGGAAAACAGGTCAATCCAAATTGCGATTAACATATAACTAAACGTTGTTAAAACACCAAATAAAGCAAAAATCGTTAATTTGACTCATATTTAAAACAATTATAAAAACTTACCTTCAAAAATACGAACTTTTCGTGGCGAAATATCGAAATAAATATCCACAACGTTTCCAACTAACATTGTGAAAAATCATGATTGTGAATATTAATGACTTGCAATGCATGCTGGGAAGAGCTTCCACCCTCCTCTGCATTTTGATGTTCTGAGTTTGATTATTTTATTGAATATTCCACATTGACTTAACCCTTACTGTATTAGGGTATACAAAACTTATAGTATTGTTAAATGTAAACATGTGCACCTCTTCAAACATAATGTGAGTTGTGTTAGCTAATGCAGAGTTGTGTTAGATACTGCTTTCTCTGATTGCACTCTACCCTGGCCCAGAGGTTTTTACGCGAAATGCGAGAAAACGCGCGAAGAAAAAGGAAAAACCTCTGGTGAATTTGTTGGCGATTCCTGGTTCGGATAAAGAATGCAAAAAATGTATAATTGCTTAATGCATCATATTCTAAAAATATTATCCAATCATTATCCTTGACGCCAGGCCGTCTAGACAGGGTTTTATCGCATGTTTACTGTCTAGCACAGAAGAGATAAGGGCAGAAGGTTCACTCAAGGGTAAAAAGTGTGCCAGAATGTGAGCCGACTTCCGGTGTGGCCGCCATGTTGAAAGCAACCAAACCAGAGGAAATTTTATAGGAGTTAATATGGCGGAATACGAAATAGAGCCACTAAAAGTGCTCTAGCTTTTTATGTATCCAAGCAAAACTCATGATACTTTGAAATATCATAACGAAGAGGTTGTTCTTTGATTTAATTGTTACTACGAGGATGAGAAACGAATTTAAGCGTGGAATTTGGCCATTGTCATACATCGATTAATTTCACCTCGGTCTTTGGCGAATAGTGATAAACATATAAAGTTATATAGCTTATGTGTGGTTAGTCCGATCGCCGTAAAATATGTTTTGAGTGATAAGTTGGTGATATTTCATGGTGTACAAAAAGATTAAGGACGTGAATGCCATAACAATGAAGGAAATAAATCCAGTTCATCGGACCTTCAGTGAATCTGTGATCAACTATTCAATACAGTGTAATTCAACTTGGCATATTGGCCTGCAATCGTATAAAATAATAGTGCGATATGAAAGAAATTGCTAGACCTACTTCTTCTTCTAAAATAAATTTTAGGGATAATATATTGACTTGAACCTATTAAAATCCTTTAGCTGTGATTTTACAAATTTGGTATCACAAGTGTGTCAAGTCACAACTGACAAGGCCTCCTTTGACATTATCAAGGAACCTCATTTACAAAACAGACAATAAAAGACCTGATTTATCTTAATGACAGTTTAAATTATAAATCTGTGAGATTCTAATATACACTCTAGTTTTTAAGATACATATTAACAGTTTACTCTACAATGAAGGGAAAATAATCTGAAGATGAGAATTTTCTCTATTACTCAAGTTTATGTTACATTTAGCACCAAATTATTGTTGCTATCACCTTAGGGGTTGTTTACATGAGCCCGGGTAGACATGTAGGCTGGCCCGGTTAACCAGGCTGAAGGCCTGGCTAGCCAGGTTACATGAGCTGGTGACTTTACATGGGAAAATTCCAGCCTGGTTATCCGGGCGTCCCCTTTGACTCAAGTGAGATCTCGGCTAGGCAGATTCTTGTTAAATGATTTGTATTAAGCTGGGTGCCTCGGTTAACAGGACTAGTCAGGCTCATGTAAATAGCCCCTTAGTTATTAAGACTTGTTGGCAGAGTAAAATATATCAGGCAATAAAACTGGTTTCAACTTGCAACAAATCGGATGTTGTTTTTTACAAAGGGAACCAAGTAAATGAAACTTTAACATCTAGTGTATTCTACTATGTACAAGTTGTACAACCCCAAAAATGTAAACAACACTTTGATTTGATTTTAGTTCCATAAATCCATATAATTTAGTTCCATAAATTTGAGTTTAGATCCATAAATCTATTAAGATCTGCAACTGTCCTACATGCACAAATGCCATCCAATGTAATGACCTAGATGATAACAGGAAGCAGTTTTGTTTCTTCAAGGCCTTTGATCAAACAGAAAACACATTTGAAGGTCTTCATGTTCCAACAAATTACTTTCTGGACTACATCATGAAAGATACAAAAATTGTTTTTGAGGTTGTGCATTTACTACAGCTTGAAATTTGCCAATCGTGAACTTTCCAACACTAAAAAGAAGAACAGAAAATATTTGAAGGTAGCACATCTTTAACCATGTGCACTGGACAATATGCTGTGTTGCCAAAACAATTAATCAATATAACTTCTACAAGTTATATTGCTTAAAATCTTTTACACCAAGTACATAAGAACTGAACTGTAAGATACAAGGCTGGTGTTAAATCTAATATTGATGGTAATCATACACAGGAGAAATTACTAATATGTTGCTACACTGAGTAAATTTATACCAGGCAAGCTGAAAAATCAACTTTACCACAGTAAGAATGCAGCCCACAACCCCTGGTTTACAAGACCAATGCATTCCAGACTGAGCTACACAGTTTGAATGTGCAATATTATTATTTTGGAGCTTAATTAGTCTCGCTCCTTCACTAAGATGGTAAACCTAACAATGCCGATGGTAATTGATAACAGGTGAAATCATTAATTAAGATGGTGCTTGCTGAGTAAATCTACATGAGATTGGTGTGTTGCAATTTTGGGTCATGAACTGTAACTTCTGGCAAGTTAGTCTGCTCCACCATCAATTGCTTGATACAGATGTGAACAAATATCGTACTCATTACTGTTACCAGCAATCAAAGTTTAATATCAAAGTTACAAATTATAAACCAGTTCTGGTGAAAATGGATTCTACTCGCGCAGTTTACTTAGTTTAGTCCAAAAACGTTTTTGTTAATTAAGAAAAGAAGCCCAATACAAAGACATCACATCCCCTTTCACTGATCAGGTATATAATTTAGTACGAATAGTAGTACGAATTATAAGGATATTCACAGTATAATATGCGCCTAAAATTAAAAAAATTCAACCTACTGCGTTCTAAAAACAAGACATGACGCATTTTTCTTCAAGTTAAGTGGATTAGTAGTTGCAATAGTTTCAAACTACACTCAGAAAAACAACATATAAATGCGTATATATCCATCGGTGCCAAAACAGCACATACAGTTTGCTGCGTTTAAAATGACAATTTTAGCATCATTCAATAAGCTTTTATTATAATAAAATGAATAATCTACCTTTCTTTTGTACGTCCTGAAAATTTCAATGACATCCACCATAAAATAACGACGATATACCCATTTAAAGTTATGAAATACAAGTTTCGCCATATTAGTTTATAATGTTTTGGACCAGAGTTGGTTGCTTTCAACATGGCGGCCAGGATCCGGAAGTAACATGTGCCGGCACAAAAACTTCAAAGGTTCCGACTCGAGTGAAGCTTCTGCCCTTCTCTATTTTGTGCTGTCTAGTGTATGCCTGCCCATTTGTAGCAATATTCATTCTCCTAAATTTCATTCAATTTAAAACATCACATCTATTCAATTTAATATAAATATATATTTATATTCATTCACTTTAATCTTGCAATATACATTCAATTTAATCCTGCAATATACATTAAAAAAAATCTGTATTTTATAAATTTATTAAACACACCTTTGGGCCGACGTGAACTTTGTTAATACAAAAGCAAGCAAATTTGTCTTGTAGATTTCAAATGAAACGATTGAAATCGTTCCTCTCCATTTCGCATTTCGAATAATAGACTCGGGATTACAAAATGCGAATGCAAACTCTCCATCTAGTATTGCTTTCTCGTCCTCTTCGTTTGACAGTGAAGTAACACGGCATCCACGCTTTCTTAGTTCACGGACGTGAGAGTCAATGAAAGAGTTCAATTTGCAAATGACTATTAAGATGGGTTTCTCCAGAAAATTGTGGCTTTTGCCAAGTCGTCGTGCTACTCGGTGTTAGAACTTTGGAATATTAAACTCTTCCCATAACCGATAGCGAGATGCAAATACATCTTTAATGTGAATCAAATTGGACAAGGCGCGGTATTGATGCTCCGTTAAACTTTTAATTCAGGAAATTTATCAATCTATCTATTAATGCAGCCTATAAAACTGCTTCTTTCAACTTTTGTTCGTTTATTTAATAATATAGACATTTCAAAATTCAAATGTTTCAATTCAATCAAAACACGAAACGCCTGCGAACAGGCTATGATGTTTACAATATCCAATCAGAACACGTAGTCTATCGAACCTATAGTCAGCAACCAATCAACTTCTAGGTTCCAATTTTGAAAGTTATTTGTGGAATGTGACCCCAAAAACCCAGCCAATTTCACCAGAGGGTTATTCAAAACAGGCGAAAATAAATACCCTCTGGTTCCAGGGTAATTGCACTCAAGCTGCCAAGAAATAACAATTATTTTTGTTACCAAAGAAAATGGTATCAAAGCATATCCCTCATTATATTAAAATGATACTGGATAACTGATCCCATAACAGTAATTAAATATTATTGTAATTATTAAACATTTTGTTTGTATTTGTGAGTTAATAGCTTGTTTGGACTATTGCACATGGTGAGTTATTGCTTATTTGGACTATTGCACTCAGTAAAATTAGCTTTGAAACAGCGCCTAATACACTTGTCATCGGAAACACGCACCCCTCCACCCCAGGGGAAACATGGGCATAAATAGACTTTTTTAGAAACTAATGAAAGAAAAAGCCCCACACATAGGGGCAAGCAAAACAGGCCAAAGCCACTTCTAGAATAACACATTTAGTAAAAGTTTCAAACATGGAATATTTAAAGTAGAATGATGAATAACTTTAAACATAGAACACTAACATGGCTTCTTGTGCAAAAACATCAGTCGTCCATTCGACAATAGGCTACCCATAGGATTATGGGTAGCCCACATGTAATCATGCCTAATCTTGTCCTCAAACTACACCTCCCACCCACCCATGTTTCCCCGGGGTGGGTGTGTGGGTGGTGGTGGTGGGGGTGGTCCGATGACAAGTGCATAATACATATAGCAGATTTATGACAGACAAGGTGCTTGCTACAAAGACAATTTCTTGAGTTTAAGAGTCCAAATAAGTAATAACACAACATGCACATTCAAAGTTGAAGGTTTTGAAAAGAAATTAAATTACTGGCATGTATTTCATCATATTTTGTGTCTTTTGTGAATATTCGTTTAATGGTTTGGTTTAAAGACATAGTACTATGTTAGATATGCAAAAAAGGATTAAATATTTTCGAAGTTAAATTATGTTGACTCGGACCAATCTATATTTCGTTATTAGAAAATATGCTCCAAAGAGATATTTCTCTTCAGTGACACTGAGAAGACGAATGCGTCGCAATCAAGAACCTCAATACATGTAATACAGTACTGTATAATTTGAAGTGTAGTGAATGTGATAATACTATACCACGCACATTTTCATTACCGCATGATGTGATGGCTTAGTGGGACTGGATTACATTGTGTCACTATTTATAAGGTTGATTTCTTGTTGGAACACTCCTTAAAATGCTGGAAATAGGCTATCTGAGATTCAATAAATCTAAAATTTTCTGGGGGATGGCCCCAGACCGGACCCCTCAAGACGGCTCGTACCTTCGGTGCTCGACTCGGTTGTCTCAGAATCCTAGTTACGGGCCTGATCTGCTGCTCTATGACGTGCACTTATTAGTTAAAACATGCATATATATGCAGGTTTCTCCAGGCCCCCGCGAAATATGTCCCCCCTCCCCCCAAATTACACATCCTTAAAAGAGGCGCTGTTTGACAATGATTTAAGAAAGCAAATTAACCACAGTCATGTATTCACCAAAGCAGTAAATTAAGATTAATTTGGCTTTCAAGTTGACGTTTGGCGTATAAATTTCATACTTGAACTGCTACGAGGGCTTGTAGTCGTTGAAGCATGAAATTTATACGCCAAAAGTCAACTTGAAACGCCAAATCTTGATTTACTGCTTTGGTGAATACATGACCACACTGTTAATTTCAAGGAGTTGAGTCATTTAACTCCAAAAGTGTTATTTTGTTGCTGTTTTTTGCGACAAAATAACACTTTTGGAGTTGATTCAAAGTTGCTAATTACCACAAGTTTAATAATTGTTTTATATATTTCAAAACTGGTGTAAAAGCTGTTATAATAGAGTTGTAAAATCAAAAACTTCGTCAGCGGTTCGACGTTTGCCGTAAACGTCAAGCTTAAGGTCTCTATTGTCTGTCCAATTCCGGGGGCAAAATAAGGTGGAGGCAAGCGAGCGCAGCAGAATAATTCGTGTATTTTTACCTGTTTCTCTATATAGGTGTACATATAGAGAAACATAACATCGATAATAAATTCCTCGAAGATCAAGTCCATGTTTTACAAGTCCATGTTTTACAAGTCCATGTTTTACAAGTCCATGTTTTACAAGTCCATGTTTTACAAGTCCATGTTTTACAAGTCCATGTTTTACAAGTCCATGTTTTACAAGTCCATGTTTTACAAGTCCAGTCCATGTTTTACAAGTCCAGTCCATATTTTACAAGTCCAGTCCAGTCCAAGGTCCAGTCCATGTTTTACAACATGCCCTCCACATGCTTGTACCGCAAGATAAAACATAAGGAGATTTCACGATAATTTAACATATGTAGATAATTACTAGCTTGATTAAAAAAACACTTCCTATATTTTTATTGGGTGTGTATATATCAGATGATATAGCAACAACGAGCATTTCAACGCGGGGCTTATTAGTGCTATCAGTTTGCGCTAAGTAGCATAGTGCGACGGATGATTTCCGTATATGGATTGAGAGATGTCTTTCGACCTTCAACTTTCTGAGATGCTTCCCAATAATACAATGCCAAATTCAAAGGTCTCTATGGATTCAAACGTAGCTATATTTCTTGTAATCTTCAATTCTCTTCAAATCGTCTTCGGATCCATCGCGAATATATTTGAAATCATATTTTTCTTGTCGAAAAGACAAGAACACAACAGTGTCTCCGATAAACTGACCTTAAATTTGGCTGTGGCTGATTTCGTTGCCTTGACAACATATTTACCTTGGAGGACGTATCTTCTACATATACGAAGAACAACTGACGATTACCAGTACTACACTTCGCTATTTGTCTTCTGCGTCTTTAATACTGGGAATGCGATTCTTGTTATTGGTATTGATAGATTTATTGCCATTACTCGTCCGTTGAGATATCATGTTTTGGTTACTGGTAAAGTAGTTTGGTTTGGAGTAACACTAGCTTGGAGTACAGCACTGATTCTTAGTGTTGGACACTGCCTTAGTTATGAAAAATTTTCATTGGATATTCATAAACAGTACGAATTATTTCTATCCTGCGTATCGATCTTCCAGATGATTGTAATGACGGCAATTTACACTGTAATTCTGAAGATTGCAAGAACGCAAGTTAAAAGCATTTCAAAACAATCATCTTACATCAACCCTGAATCAAACAAATCCACAAAGTGTGCTTCCAGTATCCTGTACTTTTGGAAAAGTGCTTACACGACGTTTTGCATTGTATGTCTATTTTACGCGACGTTCATGCCATATTCTGTGTATAGAATTATAACACATTTTGATGATACTATAACTAAGACATCAAAACGTATAACATGGCGCTGGCTGATGTCCTTTACTTTCTTAAATTCTTGTCTCAATCCCTATATATATTTTATTGGGATGAAGAAATTCAGGTCTGCATTTAAACGTTTGTTGAACATTTGACTCATATGTTTTTATTAGTATAGTTTATGTTTAGTGAGCATCTGCATGTTTAAATGCATGGTTTTGCTTTGTTAGGACAAAATGAGATCGAATGAGATATGAGACTATTTTGACAGAAGGAAATGAATCCAATTTAGCTTTATTCAGCCTTTCAAGAAATTTGTATTAGTGTATATTCGTTTCCTGAAGTAGCCTACAAACGAACGATTGGAAGACAAATACCATTTGTAATAATTTTAGTCTGGTCTGATTAATTAACAAATCGATAGTTTGTAGCCTATAATTTCTCTTTGGGTTTACAGTAAGGTTTATAGGTATATACACCACAATGACTATTTCATTGCTTCAAATACAATGTGCGGAAGCATTTGATCACGCACTTTAATTTGCTTCGAGTATCAACGCAATTTCTGAGACACTGCAGAGCCATGTTTTTTTAAGTATTAACAGTAAATGTAAATGAGTGGATCGTACTGCGTTTCACTTTTCAAATATTTCTCATTCTCGTTAATTTCTCTCGTGATTTCAGGTATGTTAGGTAATAAAAGAATGGGAGAAATAAAATTACAAAGCCAGTTTTCGACTAGGCGGAATTTTTCTTTGTCTTGTGATTTCTCGTCTGGAACTAATTAGAAAAGATAACGAAAAATTCGCAAAATTCCGCCTGGTGGAAACCGGCTTAACCTGACTCTAGCAGAAGTTGCGCCACACGCTGCAGGAGAAACTGCTTATATGACCTTAAATACTTACAATCGACCTAATTATTTCAACTGTTGACAGTCATAAGTGGTCAATATAAAAGGTCATTTTCTTGTTTTTGTAACAACAAGGATACTTTATTTAGGCCTATTTACGTGGTAATGGGTTCAAAGTAAAAAAAATCCAAAATGGCAAAAATCGTAACGCCTGCAATGTATGAATCCACACTGTAGAAATCTTCAGATGAAGAGTACGTAAGCAACATTGAACGCGAATGACGAATGTTACTAGATACATACACCATTCCTTCGCTAAAAATCAATCGTTTTGCCGTTATAATTATTGTGGCGTTACGGTTTCACGTTTTTTACGAGCTATAGCTCCTCGGTGATACGTGCTAAAATAACTCCTCTTTATTTTTTTTCTTGCGGTCCGAAGTCATATTTTACGCTTTTCTGCAATCTGATTGGCTACGTGAGCGGTCCGTATGAGCCCGTACGGACCGCGC